GTCCGGCGGACCTGCCTAGGTTACTTATTTGTAGAACTCTGCTGATCGATCGAGTAACTAAACACACGCGATAATTTTCACCACTAACACTGAACCGAATCACTCACTAATTACTCATTTACTTCTAAATAACTCATTAAATAACTGCTCGACTGGGTTTCATATTTACATTATTCCCAACATTTCCCGTATTTGAAGTTGTTTCTCCATACTGTACGCAGTTACTAGACTCTACAGAGGCTTTAAGTTTCATAAACACTCTGATCATCATGATTAGCTCCCTCTAGCTAAACATCTAATTTAAAACATTGAAAATATATCTTGCAACACCATGTTATTAATGAAACTGTAATTCTTAGTTCATATTTGCTTTAATTATTATTCCAAAATTAAATCCTTAAAATTGTTTAGCACATATTTATCACATGAAATAAGGCGCACAAAGTCAGCGCCTTGAAGTTTAAAACAATGATTGTTTATAAAACAAAATAAACAAGAGGGAATCCTCAATAGCCACAGCACTTAAAATTCTTTTAGGTGGGATTAGAGTAAATTAGTCTATGAGACCTTTGTTTCCCTTTTTATTAGCTATATTTTTGTGCGCCAGCAATACTAAGCTTTGGGGCACGCGTATACCCTATTTGATTTTATTGCTCATCAGGATCGCTACCAGCCTACCCTAAAATTGAAATTCTTTTAGATAGGATTATAATAAATTAATCTATGAAACCTTGGGCGTGGTGAAATACATCAATCGAAAGGGTTTGACGTTCTGAATCGATAACTGTAATTAAATCGTTCAAGAGATGACGGAGCTATGAGCTAAAAGTTTACACTTGAAAAAACAAAAACAAACTTAGAGCCGTTTTATGAGCCGCTCATCCGCGGCTAAATATCATGAAAATTGTTTGTTTGTAGTTAAGCGCAAAGCTACGCAATGGATTACCTGTGCTGTGTTCACCACGGGTATCGAAACTTGGTTTTTAGCGATATCAGCCTTCAAGACTTACCACCGGAGGCACGTGAAAATGGTATTTCAAAGAAATATTTATTAAACAAGAACAACGAGTAAAAACCATTATTTTTCATTATTATTTAATTAATGTTCAGGTTCAAAACATTATTTTTAATTATTATTTAATTCATGTTCAGGTTCACGTTATATTACATTAATTTCGACTCTCATTCTTGAGAGGCAATGTATTCAAACAATTCGTAAAATTGGAATAATGTGAGTAAACCGATCTCCTGAAACTTTCCAATTTATATTGTTTCTAAAATGCTGTCAAAATAATAACTAGCTACGCGTGTATTTTTTCAATAGGTTGTTGTTTTGTTACTGCAAAGCTGTTCAATGGACCACCTGTACTATGTTTACCGCGGGGAATCGAGCCCTGGGTTTTAGCATGTAACTTCGTAAACTTACCTCTAACCCACCGGGAGACATTTTTCAATAAGGATAACCTGTGCACGTAAACAAGCAAAAAAGAATAAATACAATAACACAGTAGACTATACGACAGTATATAACAATAATAAGTCAAGATTTCTGTTGCTGTCTCTGTGCCAGATTCTTAAAATCGATTCAGCCTTTCGTCTTTATAAATCACAACCAATGACATAAGCTAGATTCGTATTACTGAAGTTAACCTACAGGTAGCGTTCTACATAACGCCCTTTAGCTACGATCGAGTCTTACTAGAAAGTAAGCGGACTAAACTCGACTGAGCAGAAGCGTGTATGTTGGCTGAAACGTTGGTATGGTAAATTCCTAAGATGTTTTAAAAGATGTGTTGTCGCCGCTAAAGTGATCGTTTTAATCACACTTTGATTTTCTGTATTTTATCTCGTACATTATTCCATGGGGAAGAAACAAAGTAAGCTAGGGAGTGACGTAGTCTCGAGACTTGTGAAGGAGACTTATTGTGAGTAATATTATTTGTCATTTGAGTACAATTATATCTAGTAGTAGTGCTGGTAGTATAACTTAAGACTGACCTGGTGTTTGTAACGGTATACATAATACACGCGTTTACGTGTTTTAACCTATAAGGTTTAAGAGTTTCCGTTTTGTATCTCGAAAACTTTTTTTTTTTTTTTACATACATATTCAAGTAATTATTTGTTTTTCTTCAAGGAATAAGGGAATATTCCATTTGGGAATCGATAAATAGTGATTTAGCAATTATCTTTGCAGAAGGGTTAAACTTTAGAAATTAGACTGTGTCGCTCCTGTTGATGTACATTGGGTTTTATAAAACGCAACGACTTGGAGTTAGGTCTTTCAAGAAAGGTGCTTACACAAATGTTGATGTACATTGGGTTTTATAAAACGCAACGACTTGGAGTTAGGTCTTTCAAGAAAAGTGCTTACACAGATGTTGATGTACATTGGGTTTTATAAAACGCAACGACTTGGAGTTAGGTCTTTCAAGAAAGGTGCTTACACAGATTTTGATGTACATTGGGTTTTATAAAACGCAACGACTTGGAGTTAGGTCTTTCAAGATAGGTGCTTACACAGATCTTCTCTTCAAACGGTTATCGAGCCGTTTTTATTCAGAGGTGTTTACATGTTTAGCCCTATCTGTTCTGTATCAGAATCATATATTCCAGTTTGAATGTGACAAGTGAAAAACAAACTGGAATGGAGGAGTAGAAAAACAAACTGGAATGGTGTCACATTCCGCGTCGAGGGCCTCGACGCGGAATGTGACATCACCTTTTTTCCTTTGCAGAGTGTTTTAAATACGTAGTCTGTGTATTTGCATATGCTTGGCCAGTAATTTGATTGGATCCCCAGACACGATGTACTTGGGCTAATGAATCCTTAAACTACCTTTTCTCTTTTTGTATTGCTTTTTTGTGGGGAGGAGAATTGTGAATGAATTGAAAATACGTTATCATATTTCCAACAAACTGTATTACATCGGCCTGACGTGAGCTTGCATTTGTACTTTCCTAAAGGCGATGAATTTTCCCTTCTTATTCACCCACAAACATGAAAATTAAAAAATGGTTATAAAAAAAAATATTGTTTGTATTTCAGCAGTTGTTTGGGAATAACTAAACCCTTAAAGAATATTTGGGCAAATAAATGTTTTCGTTTACAACAGTACCTTGTGAATCTCTATATTCTACAAATACAATATTTAACATAGTCAGTATACTGCTACATAAGTAGTCACGAAACAACAATACGGCTGCAAGGCGTGTGAGAAGCAAGGCATTTTTGTGCCCTTTGAACACCCATTTATTTCTATCAAAAAATATAAAAATAACTACAAACAAACAAGATCAACTTGTAATAGAAAAATTGTATAAAGATAGTTGTAAAGTTTGAAAGGCATATGCACGAAGAAACTTTCTTTAATAGCTGTGTAATTTCTATAGAACTTATTAATTATTGAAAAACCAAATGTAGCCCTCCCTTCCCGTGTGTTATACGGTCTTAAGTTAGCCGTACATATCCGCTTTTGAATGCCTTTAAACAATATTCCTCTATGAATGCTTGTAATTTAGCTATTTAAAAGGGTAATAAACCGTAAAGTGAAGAAAGTCCCAATAGGTTTGTCAGAGTTTTGATGAATTGATCGACGATGCTGTATATTGTGTGTTGTATAGTCCCAACGTTGGCTAAGATGAAATTTAACAATTTTTAGCCGACATTTATACAGCGTAAATGATTGCCTTCGAATTCTAATGGGAATTAATCAAATCTGTTAAGTAGATCACGAGCCGCCTCTAGGGTATTATTTTCAAACCAATAGTGAAATAGCTTCCTCGTCGTATCATTCCCTGTTCTAGTAGTGGTAGTACACAAACTCTTTTGTAGAGCCCTAAATTTCTTCATAGTTTGGGACAAAAGTTAAAAAATAAATAAAAATCATACACATATTTGTGCTTGAATGCCCTTGAGAGATGATTATTTGCTTTAAACTGAGTAGGAGTTGCGGATACAACAAAAGAACCTTATGATGCTTTATTCAGTCGTCATATGGGATTCCAGTACAGTAATACCTTAATTTAGATTTCAGAGAAGGAAGTAGACGTATATTAACTTTTCACAATTCGGTGTTATCTTCTCTTCCGTGAAAACAAGATTGTTTTTCACGATACTAAATAGTCCAAGTTACATAGTTTGGAGGACAATAAAAAGTAATAACTCGGTAGAACCAGGATTAAATTTACTGTTACTGAGGTATACCAATTATGAAAAATAGCAATGTGTTTCAGGAAATGTGTGTGTAACAGCCGTATAATGCTGAAGCCGTTTCCTGTATTGTTATACATCTGAATAACCAGATGATACAATTAAATACGTGCAACAATGTTAAAAAAATCTATTTCAAGCATGGTTTTATGACAATTCTGTAGAAGTGATACGGATAGAGTAGGTATTCGTTCTGACATAGTGTCAGAGGCACGTGCAAAGCAGTGTAACTGAAATATTATAGTATTTTTTATATACTCTTTTTTTTAGTGAAAACCAGTGTTGGACCTGTTAAGAAGAAGGTGTCTAACAATTACGAACAATTTCACTCATGTTCCATCACATATGTTAACTATTAAAGAATCATCATTTACAAGCTTGAGATTTGATAGCGTGCATAGAATAATTAACAGAGGCGCTTACAGATGAGGTGGGGTAGACAACCGACACCGTTGTCCTAGGCCCTATCTCTAGCGGTAGTGGGTGTTCAGCCCTGTCATGAATTTTCTTAATTTTATTTAAAAAACTTTTGTATGCCGCCTGTATGTCTCTTTCAGGGGTGACAAGTAATAGGAGTTTTGTTGAAATGGAGTTATAATAATTAGAAGGATGTTTGCAAGAAAAATCCTGTCAGTGTGCTCTCTGGATTAGCAAGGGCACCTTCGGGGGGGGGGGGAGCAACCGAGACAAAAGGCCTGTCCCGACCCCCAAAATTCTTGGCTGAGACCCTGGGATTAGCATAAATAAAGTTTAAATTAAGACTTGACGAATTATTTTAAGGTTGTTATAAAGAAGCGATTGGTTAGTTTTGAATTATCGGTGGAAGTTTCTTTGGTAAGACTGGCTCAGGATATTCGTCAACGGGGTGAAGACAAACGAAAAAGCCTAGGGTAACGCCGACCTGAGCCAGTCCTACTAAAGCTGACTAACTTTCTGTTGAAAGTTAACAATAAAACTGTTAATCTATAAAATATTTTTGTTAAAATACAAAATGCTAACATTTCTTATGACTACAGTGAACGTCGTATTTACTTCTTTTTTTTTTTTCTTCTTTCTTTGTCCAATAAATTTGTATTTACTTTGTCAGTGAGTTAGGCTTACTTACAACGGAAAATTAATTTTTCACTACATGAAACAGTTTTCCATTTCTAACCGAAATTCTTAATCGTGCGAGACCAGAGTCGTTAGAAAATATAATCAATTATTTAATTAATTAGATAATCAGATTACTTCTGATCTCTTGTTCTAAGTCATCGTATTAATTTCTTATGTGCATATTTATACGATTTTCATGTTTGTAGTTTCGTTATTTAATAATCACATTGTGTTTGTTTTCTGTGTATATTTTGCTTACTTACATCTTCTGTCTTCGAGAGTGGATAAATAGGGAAGGGAAAAAAACTGGTATTGACTGAAACTTTGTGCCGCCAGGGGCTACATGCATGTCGTTAGATACCCTTCGTGCTGAAAATGTGTTCCTTTGTTTTGTTAAGAGAAACCTGAAATATTAAGTTTTCGCCAATTATAAACTGATCTTAAGCTAATCTCATCGCTAATGTGCATCTCCCTTTACTTGTTTTTAACAATGTCTAACTTAATATTAAAAATAATCAACTTGCACTAAAATAATTGCTATCTGTGGTCCTAACTTCATGTGCTGTGTAAAACTTAAGTATTTATTTTTATACTTCCCATTACACTGGGATCTGTGCGCTATATTCAAGCGAGTTTTAAGTATGCAAATTAGCAAGTCACGTGAAAAAAAGTCGAGATAGGGGTCGCACTGGAACTGTATATGTATATCTCTAAACTAAGTTTGACATTATTTTGGGTTGCGTGATGACACCGAAAATTAATCAATTTTGGGAAGAGTATGTAACAACCCTGTTCCGATGTAAAATATTTGTGCACTTAAATAATATAGATGTCAGATCGGGAATTTATAATTTACAAGACGGGAGTATATCATATACTTAATTACATGAGGAAACGAAGGAATATGGATCAATTGGAGATACCAGAACCATCCAGAAAAAGACCTACAACAAGTTGCCTCAGCCGTGATAAGCAAAGTACAGCGACTTTTAACAGGTGAGAATCCACGAATACAAAAATCGGTGACAACACTCATCCACGTGACTCTGGCGACCGTACATAACATACTAAAAAATATCTTCGTCTTGAAACGAAGCCTACAGGTTTGGATGTGGCTTTCAGTCATACTTCCCGTTTAACCATCGCATACCTCTAGCAGCTGGAGAATGAAAGAGGCATTCATGCTATTCCATAAGAAGACATATTGGTCAGGTATAAGGATGCAGTGTCTATGTGATTTCAGGTTTCACGTCATATCCATTCAGCTGTCGCATATTTCAAGTAAATTGAAAATGAAATGTTATATTTCATAGCAAGACAACACTCTTCTAAATATTTCCTCTCCATTTTAACAAACCTCATCTATGGATTTCTGTGCAATTGAACTATTAAAACGGACACTGGGAACTATCCTCCTTGCACACTAGATGGCCTAACAAAAATCCTGCAGGTAGGACGGGTGTGCTTCGGACATTACAGCCTTATGATAGAACCGTTTGCAATGGGGAACTACGCTGCAGACCTTTTATCAAAATGCACGGTCGTCAGATAGGGCATGGCCGGACATAGCGCCATGGACTGTAACGACGTAGTGACGCTCAGAAATCGTTTTAAGAT